ATGAAGCCTGGTTTACCCTAAGTGGCTATGTCAACTCACAGAATCACAGGTTCTGAGCAGCGGAGAATCCACATACCTTCCACTAAGCATCATTACATGATCAGAAGGTTGGGGTTTTGTGTGCAGTGACTGCACGCCTCATTATTGGCCTCATCTTGTTTCATCAGATGTTGAATTTGGAGCATTACATTTCCACCATTTTTAAACAATTTGTGACAGCATTAATTGAGGAGGAAAAGACCTACAGTTACTTCCAAGCTGGTAGTACCTTAGATCACATTAGCACAATCTTCATGTCTGGCAGAGTTGTTAGCAGAGGTCAGTCTGGTTTCGACCCTAGCTGGCCACCCAGGTCACCTGATCTGTCAGTGTGCGATTACCTTTTGTGGGGAACTCTCAAGTCTAAGGTGTATCCTATAAATCCTCATAGTCTTCAAGAACTTCAGTACACCATTTCAGATGAGACTGCAGTAATTCCTGCAGTCCAGCTTTGATCTGCCTTCAATAACTTGCTGATCAGGGCCCAAAAGTGCCAAGAGATGAATGGTGATTAATTTTAACATCTGCTATAGTCAGGTTAGTACTGTATTTTCTTTCCTTTGCTGTGTTTCTTTGTAACCTAAAACTCTGTTCTCCGAGCCACTTTTATTTGTCCCACACTGTATATTTCCATACATCCCATGAACTAAAAATCAACAAAACATTGTCACCATTTTATATGCAACAAGTCAAAATTAGAAATTACAGAAAGCATTAGCTCAAGCTGTGTTTAAAAATATTTCAGAAAGTGAAATTTTTCAAAATTAATTTAACCAAGACCAGTAATGATAATATTAAGCAGAATCACATTAATGGAGATCTCTCTCTCTCTCTTTTTTTTTTTTTTTTTTTTTTTTCCAAAGTTCAAGATTTCATTAGTAGAATTAAAATTGAAGAATACATTGCAGTGGACAATTTAAGCATTAAAGAATCAAGTTTGAAAAAAGATTTTAGAAAGAAAATAAACATAATGATGTCTAAGAAAAACTAGAAACAAAAACTGGTGAAATAAGTAATGTATTCAATAGTAAAGATATTCTGAAGTAAACTGAAGCACTTAAAAATTATGCAATATCTGAAAGCATATTGTCTTGTTACAGCTTCTTTACTAAAAGACAATTAATTTTTATTTGATTTGAGTACTTTCATTTAAAATTATTTTCACTCATAGTTGATTAATTATACCTAATTATTTATGCTACCTAAGCTGCTGCATTTAGAGCAGTTCCAGGTGTAAGAGAAATTTGTCTGCACATAGAGAATTTCCCTTTAGTGGGCATTCCCCACTCATGAATAAGATGAATGGACCTATGAATGTCTGCAACAATGTCCAACAGTACTATGCCAATTAATGAAATTTTTAATTTACAGTATGTATAGAAGTAAGTTTTAGATTACACAGTTTCGATCTCTGTTCTCCACTCAAGTAAAGGTAAATTATATTACAGACACAAATACATAGGCTAATCAAGAACTACAGCTCTAATGAATCATTACTACCGTACAAAGTCCATAATCCAGACTCGTCGGGACTTCGGCGATACCGATTCGGATAATCAATTTAAATCTGGTAAGATGGTATGCAGAAATTAGATTACTAAAAATATGAAACCGTTATTTATGAAATAAAAAGCAATTATGATCTAAAGGGTATCAAATGTTACAAAAAAAAGCTAATATTTATTTGTTTACTTCACTAAACATTTCTTTCAACACGCGCATGAGTCAAGTTTGTGGCTTTGGTGGTGTATTTAATTACGGCAAAAGCACACTAGGGCTATCTACCTAAGGGGAGGGATGCCTTCATGAAAGACTTTCTAAGGGAAACTGGCTCGTATACACGTTACACATGGGGAAAACCACGAAAACACCCACGCAGCCAGCCCGTTTGCAGGATTCGACTACCTTGGACCGAACTACCAGTGTTCAGCGACTTTACCGCTCGGCCGCTGGTGGGCCTTGTGGCTTTGAGGTCCGGATTATAGATCATTCCGGATAATGGACATCTGTATTACGGACTTTGTACTGTATATTGTTACCTTTTTATAATTCTTAGAAAAAGAGTAATAAAGTCCGAAATCCGAACGTCCATGATCCGGAATGATTTAAAATCCGGACCTCAAAACCACCAATAACATTTTCTTGTAGGCTTTAAGCATGCACATTTGATTCCCCTCTTTGCACATAATAAAACATCTGGTAAGTCCTGATTCTTAATTTCACTTCGAAACTAAATAAAATACCTTGTTATATTGTTGAAGAAACAATCATTTTAGCATAAATTTGTAGGACAGTAATTGCTGCATATCTGCTTTGCACACATCGAAACATTCCACACAGATACATTGTTGATCTGACGCCAACCTGGCGAATCATTATTTATTATACTTTCCTTTCATCACCGCATGTTTATCAAAACATGACATCTTGAGTAATGACTCATGTAGCAAATGCCTAAACTATTTTTTATGTTAGTAATTGAATAATAAAGGAGTATGATAACCTTTTACGCTGACATTATACTTGGCAATGATTACAGATTTAAGTTAAATGCGCTAAAAAATGTTGAAGAGGAAAAATTTACCAAAACTTTCTTTCCATATGCTAAAAATAGATTTTGTTGATGATACTCATAGACCCAAAGATTACATTTAGGGCTTTTTAATTAAGAATAACTGATTTGCTATTCATGTAAACACAGAACCAGCGCCAAGGCTTGTGTGGCCGCAGAATTTAGGAGCCAGAGAAACTGCATCAGGCGGTAAGATATCTAGCACCAGCCATCAACAAGGCTTAAGTATATGTGGGAATTTATTCAGAACTCTGATAAGCCTTAAGCATGCATAAGAAATAGACATAAGTATAATAAATAACTAAACCACTACATTTCAGACCTAATTGTCTCAGTGCGCGATAGAAGTGAGATAAAATTTAATAGAACAACTTGTCATTAGTCGCCAAGCTCATGATGCATAGCCAAATATATATAGTGAAGGATAGCTAAATTTGATGACGGTAGCCACTAATTCTAAAGGTTTTTCAGATATCGCAAAACAACAAATGTGAAATTTCCCAATTAATGGATTTTGTAAAGAAATGTGGAGAATATAAAATAAAGATGATATAAAATCTCATCATCAATCAATTAATGAATGGCGAAATCTGTAGTATGGTTCCAAATCCAGAAAATACCAATACCGATAGTGATGAAAGTGACAGAGAGGTTACTGAAAACAAAAAGATTTTGATTGACAAGTTAGTCGGAATTCTCGAAACAGCAGGTACAGGACTTCAACCATGTAACTAAGCAAGAGATTATGTCTGTCTACAGAATTAAAGAGAAAGTATTAGCACAAAAAATGAGGCATCTCAAACAACTTACATTGAAAGCAATGTTTAATAAGGTAAACAAATAAATATTAGCTTTTTATTTTTGTAAATTTTGACACTGTTTAGATCATAAATACTTCACTATTTCATATTTTTAATTTAATAATTTTTACATGCCATCTCGCTAGATTTAAACTGATGATCTAATATCCGGAAAAATCCCAAATCCGGATTGCCGAAGTTCCGACGACTCCGGATTTCGGACTTTGTACTGTATAACAGATTAGTAATAATGACAGAGTCACAGAAAAGAGTAATAATGACAGATTGTTACACGCCGAAAAAGATACAAAAAATAAATAGCAGATGTATATTTTTATTTGTATTACCTATTCAGACTGCACATAGCGAACATGACACTGCTTATTAAAAAAAAGGGTTTTTTTCCTATCGCAAGTTATTAATATTATATAAAATTGAAATTGGATGATTTGGGGATTTAAGATGCTTTGTATCAATCCTTTCTATGGTATGCATAAAGTATATGAAACTATCATTTGAAAGACCACACCTAATCAAGGCATTATCCCATGGATTGTCAAGTAGGCTGAGATAATAACTGGTATTGAAATTAATGTTCAATACGAATGACCGATTCCAATTCAACTGAATAGTTTCCATGTCTAGAATTGCCACATGTTTCTACAAACACTACACATTGTTTTATGCTGTTGGTGTCAAACAACAATCAAATCAATGGAATGAGAACCCTCAAAAGAAATACATAGAAAAAGAGGATTCTTCAGAAAAAAATCCCTATTTTTTTAATCAATTACATATTGTTGATAGATAAATAAAATAAATGGATTTTTGTCAAAGTTGAGCTTGATTAGAACAATGAGAGATTATGAGCTTGGATAGAATAGTGAATCGATAATCAGTTACCAAATGATGCACTGGATGACCGACAGTATATCTGCAATGCAATGGTTTTTGTTTGCATGATGATGTGCCACATCATTTATTTATCACAATTCCTCTCTTGGAACATTTTAAACTTTCTGCACAGCTGCCAATTTGCGGTTTTAGTAGCATTCTTAATTCATTTGAATAATTAGTCTTTCAAAAAAAATAAGCCTCCAAATTAAATACATGAAATCTCACTTGCAATTTGGCATTTTGTGTGTCTTGATGTTCTTTGCTCATTATGTTTATAACTATCCTTAGTCAAAACATTTTCTTTCACAGAATATTTCAGTTATTAATCATGCGTTCTTACTGATTATATCAGTTTCAAATGTAAACAATTCTATAAGAATTCAGTAATTATATTCTTTAATTCAGTATGAAACCAAGCAAGTTTTGTTTTTTCGATATCAGTGTGAACCCAAGTAAGTTTAGTTTTTCTGATTTAAGTTTTTTTTTTTTTTTTTTTTTTTTTTTTTTAAAAAACCAACTTAGTTGTAATACTTTTCAAAAGTCAATCTGCTAAATAATTAAATACATTAAACATGATATTAACAAATATTTTTTTATATATACAAGGAAAAGAAAAGATTAGACAGAATTTTTTAAGAATGAAAACTCAAACAGAAACTTGTTACAATACATAAGATTTTTAAAATGCTTACCAAGGACTAAAACATTCATTTCATATTCCGTGGTACCAGCAGAATTACTAACTACACAAGTGTAAATACCAGTATCTTGTGCTTGAGATTTCATAATTCTAATTTTTTTGTTATCAGGAGAAAATTCTATATGTGGATGAGTACTACCAGTGTTAAATTTTCTTCCATTCTTTTCCCATGTGATTGTATGTGTATAATTGGAATCAATAAGGGGGCATGTTAAAATTATACTTTCTCCTTCATGAGCTTTCAGTTCTTGTTGGCTCATCAATGGGCTCATCTGTGGTGGAACTGTAAAGAAAGAAATCAATTAAGTTAATATTTATATGATGAAAAACAGATGTAAAAATGCATTTTCATGGTAAACTAGATGGTTTTGGTTTAGCTTATTTAATTACAGCAAAGGGATGTCTTTGTGGATGACTATCTAAGGGAAACTGGCTCGTGTACACATTACACATGGGCTTCATGGGGAAAACCATGAAAACACTCATGCAGCAAGTCCGCTCGTGGAATTCGAACCTCACAGAGTTCAAAAGTGTTCAGCAACTTTACCGCTCGGCCGCTGGGGGGCCTCGTAAACTACATATAGGTTGAAATAATTAAAGTGTATACAGAATAACAAGAAATAACTTACGCTTGTAAATACAGTATAAAATCCAGATACTGGATGTACAGTATCTTGAATGATCTAGTATCTGTACCTCTGGACAACCAGTATTTCTTTCCTCCCTAACAAAGTCTAGGAATAAAGAATATAATACTCAAGACTAAACAGGTGTGCTGTCACATCAGGTGACAAACAGGTGGTACCAAAACATGTCACTTTCAAATACCCACTGGCCATGGAATCATACTGTGGCAAATGTCATGAAAGTATATTTTGATGCCAGTCAAGCAAAAGCGGAACTACTGCACACTATGGATAGAGGATATTATTTGTTTCAAACTATGTATGGAATATAATACGAGAACTTTTAATATTTTTTCAGTGAATTCAGATGCCCTAATTGTAACAAATAACAGCCGCCCAACAGGTATAGCTGACTGCTGTGCCTAAGGGCCCGGATTTGAATTCTGGAAAAGGCATGGATGTCTGCAAATGCCTAGTGTCTGTGCAGCATGGGGACATCCTAAATATGCGACGAGCCAAAAGTCCTCTCGCACCCTAAATACGGGATGAGCCAAAAGTCCTCTTGAGAGGTTGGTGGTGTAGGGAAGAGGGGTGGGAGACCCTCGGACCATTCCCCCAGAGTGCTTCAAATCAAAATTGGGGGTGGAACTGAGCTAAATTGCACTGTTACCTGTAAGGTGCTTAGAGCCAGATTTAGACTTGATAAGGCCCTAAGATGTTTGAGACATGGGGCTCTTTATAAGTCTGTTATAATACATTTTAATACTATTTATACTATATTTTAATTTTTTTTGGGCCCTAAGCTGTAGCTTGTGTAGCTTATACGTAAATCCGGGCCTGAAGGTGCTCAAATCTGGTGCCAAAGACAGGCATAAAACTTGCACTCCTTGCTACAAGGATTTTCGTGGCCTTGGGCTGACTATAGGTCAGACAAGTGGGAATTAGTCAACAACAACAACAAATGAACAACAGAAAAACCATTCATATCCTAAAAGTGATGAGTATCACAGTATGGTGATTGAATGTGTCAGACAGCCTCACAGAGAGAACATGCTATTGATAATGGCTCAAACCAGAATATTTTATGAGAAAATGGACTGAGAAACTGAGTTTGTACATTCAAAAGACTAGATAAACAAATTTCAAACTTCCCAAGGTATAAGGTAGTTAAAAATTAAAGGTGAAAACACTGAAGCTAATACACAGCCAGTTGTACAATCTGCATGAATTTGTCAAGTTAATTGATAATAAAAGTTATCAGCAAAACAAATTTATAATGCTGACAAAACTGGTCTTTTCTGGCAATAAGTAGACTGAATGATCTTAGCAACCCCAGCAGAAAAAAAAAAAAAAAAATTCCAAAGTGAGACTACCAAATTTTGTAGGTCAAAATGATGCAGCAACATACAAATACAGTCAAAAGTCGTTAATCCGGACTCGTCGGGACTTCGGCGATTCCGGATTATAGATCATCAGTTTAAGTCTGGTAAGATGGCATGCAGAAATTATAAAATTAAAAATATGAAACCGTAATTAATGAAATAAAGTACAGTTATGATCTAAAGGGTATCAAAATTTACAAAAAAAAAAAAAAAAAAAAAAAAAAAAAGAAGCTTAATATTTATTTGTATTTTATTAAACATTTCTTTCAATGTAAGTTGTTTTGCTTCAATTTTTTATGTGATAATACATTCTCTTTAATTCTATAAACAGACATAATTTCTTGTTGAGTTACAAAGTTCCGCTGTTCAAGTCCTATAATTGCTGTGTCGAGAATATCGACTAATTTACTAATTCAGAAGACAAACAACAAAAATCAGCGTTAGATTCACAAAATTTCACAGGACTAGTTTCGATGGTTTTACCGAACCACCATCTTCAGCTGCAAAACCGCAAATGAACAAGATAGGAAAAAATGATTAGATAAGATAAGAAAGCCTGGACAAGAATAAGCAAGTGGCGCCATCTGTTGGTGAAACCAGAACTAAAACATAATTTCTTTAAAGGCCGAAGGCAAATTCGGATTGGAATTAGGATCGTTAACTAGAACAGAAAGATTTTTATGAATGTGAAATGCCTCTAGAAAATCCAGTTCTCCAATGGAAGATGTTTTTTGAATAATTTTGGCAGCAGAAAAAATTGAAAGTGTGATTTTCGGACCAACAATGTTGCGCAACAGAAGACTTCTGTATTTCCTTTTTTCTAACATATGCCTCATGTTCCTTGACGCGAAATTTTAAGGCTCTCTTAGTTTGGCCAATGTAAATTAAACCACACTGGCAAGGAATCCTATAAATACCCCAGGAATTCATATCCGGAATGGGGTCCTTAAGTATGGAACTCGGAATTTTATTGATGGGGGAATAAACAACCCGAAAGTTAAATTTCTGCAAAATATGTGCAACTTTATAGCTAATTGATGGAAAGAAGGGAATGACAACAGGATTTTTATAATCTCCTAAAACAAGAGTGTGCCTTTTAGTGTGTTGAGATGAGAATTTTTTAACTGCTTGATTAATAATGTTGGGTGAAAAGCCCCTGTCGATAGCTATTGCTTTTAAATAATTTAGTTCTTCATCAAGGGCTAGTTTGGAGGAGCAAACTTGAAGAGCACGGAAAACATAGGAATAAAATGAAGCTAACTTTGTGTTAGTCGGATGACATGATTTAAAGTGTGGTGGAAGGCAAACCGATGAAGGTTTACGGTAAACTGTAGTACTGAAGTTGGATGTGTTACGTGTGACCAGAATGTTGAGAAACGGAAGAGAATTGCAAGTCTCAAGTTCAAAAGTGAACTGAATAGCAGGATCAATAGAATTCATTGTTGAAAGAACTCTATTTAAATCATCTTTATTACCTTCAAACAGGGTAAAAGTATCGTCTACGTAGCGGAACCATGCCGGGAAGTTTAAAGTTTCAAACAATTTTGATTCATAATAATGCATGTAGATATCAGCCAGGATGGGACTGAGGGGGCTTCCCATGGCTAATCCCTCAGTTTGCTTGTAATATTTATTTTGGAAAACAAAATGTGTTTGTTTCAAACAGAGTTGAGTGAGAGAAATTAGCTCATCAATTTCGATGCAAGAGAAATGAAATTCGTGAAGTCTGGTTTCTAGACATCTTAATGCACCCTCCACCGGGACATTGGTGAATAATGATTTTACATCAAAAGACCATGAGTAAATTACTAGGAGAAATGTTTTTAACCTTTTTTACAAACTCTATTGAATTTTTTATGGTGTAAATGTTATTGTCTAAGAGAGTGGAAAACCTAGAAACCAAATATTTAGCTAAGAGATACGAGGCAGTACCTAAATTTGATACAATAGGGCGGAAAGGAATACCACTTTTATGAATTTTGGGAAGAGCATATAATCTGGTAAGATGATTGGTTTGGGTCTGGTAAGATGATTCTGGTAAGATGATTGGGAAGAGCATATAATCTGGTAAGATGATGGTTGCACATATTTTGCAGAAATTTAACTTTCGGGTTGTTTATTCCCCCATCAATAAAATTCCGAGTTCCATACTTAAGGACCCCATTCCGGATATGAATTCCTGGGGTATTTATAGGATTCCTTGCCAGTGGGTTTAATTTACATTGGCCAAACTAAGAGAGAGAGCCTTAAAATTTCGCGTCAAGGAACATGAGGCATATGTTAGAAAAAAGGAAACACAGAAGTCTTCTGTTGCGCAACATTGTTGGTCCGAAAATCACACTTTCAATTTTTCTGCTGCCAAAATTATTCAAAAAACATCTTCCATTGGAGAACTGGATTTTCTAGAGGCATTTCACATTCATAAAAATCTTTGTTCTAGTTAACGATCCTAATTCCAATCCAAATTTGCCTTCGGCCTTTAAAGAAATTATGTTTTAGTTCTGGTTTCACCAACAGATGGCGCCACTTGCTTATTCTTGTCCAGGCTTTCTTATCTTATCTAATCATTTTTTCCTATCTTGTTCATTTGCGGTTTTGCAGCTGAAGATGGTGGTTCGGTAAAACCATCGAAACTAGTCCTGTGAAATTTTGTGAATCTAACGCTGATTTTTGTTGTTTGTCTTCTGAATTAGTATTTATTCGGCGTGTTATTGTGTCTTAATCGACTAATTTGTCAATCGAAATTTTTTCGTTTTCAATAACTTCTGTCACTTTCTTCGCTATCGGAAGCGAATTATAATGACGAGGAATTTGATTTAAATCATATCAAAGACGGAGTACATCGAGATGAAATACTACATTTAGTAAGGAATTATAAGCCAAATAAAATAAAAAACATCTGCCCTAAAGATTAGGATAGTGCTGACAGATCAACTTCCAATTCATAGTTCGCTGCAGCATTAAAGATAAATAAACGTTAAAGTTTAGATAAACAAAGGATATGCCTTTATCCATTTTTTGCAGCAATTCCACTTTTTGTTTAATAGCCTTTGAAACATACTTTCGCTTTGTAGATCCTTTACATATTAGTAAATATATTACAGAAATTCTATTTGACATAATCGAAAGTTGAAGCTTACTTTTATAAAATTGCTCTAACAGTCTGCAAAAAATAATAAGCCAAATCCAATTCGAAGATTAAGGAACAACGCAATCTGCAACATTAACTGAATTAGATAATTTTAGCTTAGCTTATACCGTCCGTTATACATTAA